CTAAGTGGAATACACATTTCAGAAAAATAAACAATTTTAAGTTAGTAATAACTTTCTACATTGATTTCCACAAGGCTTAACTTTAACTGATTTAATGAGGATTTATTAAAATTTGATATTAGTATTTTCTTGGTTAATATTTGCAGAACTTTGTGGAAAGTTTTTTAGAAATTTCTAGTTCAGGCTTTTGAAATGTAGTATGACCAGTTAATTAAGAGGCAGGTTTTAATGGCAGCTGATAATTAGACTAGTCAATTGATCTGAAGCTTGAAGATCTAATAAAACTATGTGTATTCCAAAACACATTAACTCTGTAATATATATTATTTACAAAAATATTTATTTCCAAATACAAACTCGGGACTACCTGTAATTGTATGCATCACGTCTGATTCTTTATCTTCCCATACTAGCCAATTAGTTTCATCCTGAATTTGAAATCATTTCAAAAAAGCTATTTATAATATTGAAACAAATGCATTTTTAAAGCAGAAAGAATGAATTTGAACGAGGTCTGTTTTTTTTCAGGTAGGATACTACCTTTCCATTTGAGTTCATTAATATTCTAATTTTGTTTTGTTTGTTCTTAGTCACCTTAAATGCTCTCAGGGCAGAAATTTAGGCTATTCGTACAACAAAAACAACAGTATAAATCTTGATTTACATTTTTATTTTAAGAATGTAGATATCTTTATCCTTAGCACTGCAAATAGCAATCTGTACTGTTACTGGAATTAGTAAAAACTAAAAAACTACCAAATAAGGCTACTTTGAAAGAGGAGAATTGCTATAATTGCCTGTCACCGCTTCCAGGATTTGCATGTACTTTGTATATACATTTTATCTGTATTTCTTATGCATGCAATTCTATCCAGTATGGGCCAGAGATTATTTATGTTATAAACTTGGATTTAAAATTAATTTAATCAGATTGTTCTAACTGGTTTGCAGATTATACTATAAAAGAATTTAAACCAAACTGGAGTCTTCCAGATATGTTAATATTACAACTCACAACATTTCCACCAGCCTCGCCATTGGTCCCAACACAATTTGGGCACACCTATTATGGCTTCAGTGATTCATATAGGTGCTTATTTTTAAAACATTTTTGAAGTCTCATTTTAAGCCTTTGGGATATCTCTGAAACATGGTTTGTGGTTCATGCTACTCATGCAGCAAAAGTGAAATGTCTTAAGTGCACAGATAATGCCTTCCCTTATAACCTATAGTCAAGCTGCCCTCCATAGTTTCTCTGAAGCAGTTGTCTTAGAGTGAATAAGCTGTAGTCCTGTACCTAGTTATTTTGGATTTCCAGGGAAGCCATCTGAATTTTAATACATGCACATTTGTGACTGATTCTTACATACAATTACAAACATTGATAGCTGTACTGCCTCGGTTGAAAATAATAGTGTTTCAAATAACATGTAGTATGAAACCTTATAGTGTTTGATCTCTGATGGCTGTTTCACACATGCTAGTTATTTCAGGTAAAAGGTACTGATTATTAAGATCCATATGAGAAATGTGCTGCCTTAATTTTGTGCGTGTCTATATTTATGTGTGCACCGACAAGCTAAATGTTAACTTCTATGTTCAGCTGATCTTTCAAATAACTCTGTTGTGATTCAAGCATCATACTCTTTATTTCTAATATAGTAATATATTCTGTGCATTGCTGACTGCTATAAATATTTTATGTATTTCACCCCATTACCATTTTCTGCACACTCTATGGTGTTTGTGTTTACTTCAGTATATGCCAGCCTATGTAATCGTACCTTCAATGCTTTGTTTTGGTGTTATACAAAGCTGCATGTGTTTAATACACTTTTTTAACATTTGCTAATTTGTACTCTTTCTTTGTTCAAAGTTTTCAGTGCTGTGTTTTTCATTTTCCTTAAGAAAAATTTACCTCCCAGTTGCCTATTTAAGAAAACACCTTGTTCATATGACAGCCCACTTACTTTTTTTTTTTAAATAGATTTGCATTTGAAAAGCAGAATAGTAATTTCTGCTAGTTATAGACACTTGTTATATGCATCCAGAAACCAATTAAGCTACTGTGCCTAGGCTAAAGATCCAGAGAGTGAGATTTTAATTCATGTCTTGCTTAACTAGCTTCTGGACTACAGCCAGTATATTTTCTATCAGATTAGTAAAAAAGCATCTATCATATTAGTTTGTGTACCTTTTTTTCCCCCCCTTTCTGCCAGTGTGGTTTGCTTCTTACCTGATACAGCATATTCAATGTACTATTCATTTTTATAATTATTATAGTTGCAAATCAATTAGCACCTGCAGTACTTTGCTGTCCCATACCATGATTGGTGTCTTTCTAACATGGGGTACTGTGGCAGGCTCACTTCCCTTTCTAACTTTCAATGTGTTAAAATGATTGTTACAGATGTTTTTCCATCTTGAGTATCCTCCAGATGTGTGGATTTCAACTCCCAAATTTCCTAAACAGTATGGTCGTTGCTGAGAATGCTGGAAAATGAAGTTCACATATCTAAGGTCCAGGTTGAGGAATGCTGTACTATATAGACTAAATATCAAGTAACCCATGGGACCCCAGCCACAAGCTGTACCACAAAAAATTGGCATTAAGCTTCTGGATAATGGTGGTGTAATTTACTGCTGATTTTTCATGGAAAATAATTTTGTTAAACTTTCTTTTCTAAGATTTCTTTTTATCTTATCCTGCTTTAATTTACTTCTTATTCTTTTTCTGCACTTTGCATAACATTGCTTATCCTGAAAAGGAATAGTATGATGGGAACTTATGTAAGTACGTATGCCAAATAGACTTATAACTATAAAAGATCTTAAAAACCCAAAATCAAAAGAAAAAATGGAGCTAATTGATGTCATGGCATCACCTTCTTACTATCTTTTCAGGCAAGACTTTTTTAAATGCAGTCTCTGGTTGCAGAAAGATTGCTTCAGCCTGATCTAGACCTAATATTTATATAATTGGGTGTTTGTTACTTTTATATCCCATAAACAAAAGCAGTATAAAGTACTCCAAATTATTCAGAATGCTTATGGCTGTCCATTTCTATGCTGTCTTTGTATTATTATTCATTCTCAGTTATTCCCCATAAGGATGATACACTTCAGTGCAGCACTGCAAAGAACTGGCAAAAGTCCTACTATACTATTCTACTGAGCTATCAAACATCTATTTTCATTATAATTCCTCCCTACTTTAAAAAAAATAGTGCAGGCATATAGAATTTGCCAAATTGACGTTTTTGTGAACTTGGCTGCAACAAACCTGTGTCAGAAATCTGAGCATCTGTGTTACGTGAATCTCCTGTCCAATTTTTATTTATTTTTTTAATGTTATTTATTATATTTGTATAGCCACCCACCTCACAAAAAAGTGACTCTGTGTAATGCAGTAAGATTTCAATGGAAACAACCCAGGAATTAAGATTTATTGTAATTACTTTGACTGACATTCAAATGAATACATTTAGGTTAAAATACTATACATTAATCCATTTTTATTATTGAGTTTCTTGCACATATAATATGCAAGACACTTCATTAGTGTATCATTGGGAAATTACCAATCATCCTCAGCCATAGGTTATTGGAGCAAGTTACCAACACTGAACTGGCTTCATTCAGGATTAATAGTATCTAATGCCTTCTACGAATGCACAACCTGACTTAAGAAAACCATGGAAAACAACTTGTGCATGTACAGAAGTACTTTCCTGTAAGCACTATACAATGAAACCCATGTCAGTCTTAAAACTGGCAGTATTTCCACTTGTCTGTTCAAGTGTTACGTCCAAAGTTGGTGCAGGGGCAACTAAAACGGCTAGCGGTGCTGCTCGTGTGTATGTGCGTTGTTACTTTCAGCGGCGACAATTAAGGCAGCCCCCCTCCCTTCTCCCCAGCAGAGTATGCCGACGCGCGCTCCATCCTGTTTCTCCCTCGCCAAGGAACCCTGACTGCCAGCCATATGCTCCTGTGCTTTATGTGCACCTGCTCTCCATCCCCCATCTCTGTAGATCTTTCTGCCTGCACAGATGCCCACGTACTTTCGAGTTCCACTTTGTTTCTAAGTCTGTTGGGTGCGCTACCTCCCGGGAGTGCCAAGCGAGGACGGAGTTTGCTTCCGTTCGCCTTTGGCAACTGGCGCGGGTGCGCCCTCACCCCTGTCCTGCTTCGGCCGTGGCCGCTGTCCCGCTGGTGCTGAAGAGGCGCTGTGTGCGCGCCCGATTGGGGCTTAGGGAGACTTCGCGCTTGCTTTCCTCTGCCCGTCCCCTGGTTCTCCCTTCTGCCGCCCTTTCAGCCCCTGGGCGCCCTCTCTCGCTCGCTGTACCAGGAAGTCGCTACTGCTGCTCCTGTTTTGGCCTGTCCCTGCCGGCAGACCGCTCTGCATACGCTACGCGATTGCCCGGCGCCCCTGCCAGCGGCATCTCGCTCGCTCGCTCGCGCTGCTCCCTGTTATTCTGGGTATTGTGTGTAATAAATGCACAGCCGCCTCACACTAATCAAGCTGATTACAAATTCTTGCGCGCCCTGTGCCGGAAATCGCCCCCCCCCGGCTCTCTCCTCCCCTCCCTTTGCCTCCCCCCCACCTCCGGCTTTCTGGTTTTAACCCCCTCCCCCTTCTGCCTTAACCCTCCAGCCCCCTTTTTAATCCAATTCCCATTTCCACCCCTTCTAGATGCCCTTTCTTCCATCCTCTCCCTCCCCCCCTCCGCGCATCGATTTACGCCGCCACCACCTCCTCCTGCTTGTCTGTCTCTCTCTCCCAGGACGGCGCGTCGGATGATCCGGGGCCGCCGGGGAAGAGCTCCAGGCAGCAGGAGGGAGGCTACGTCCTCCTCCTGCCTCGAACTGGATCTCTCTCTTAAAAAAAAAAAGCCGGTAGCCCTCCGTGTTATTTTGTATTAAAATGAGGAGGAGGAGGAGGAGGAGGAGGAAGAAGCAGCAGCAGCAGCAGAAGCGGCAGCAGAAAGCAATAGCGGAGAGGCAAAGAGGAAGGAGCAGGAGCAAGGGACGGCGGCGGCAGGAGCAGGAGCAGGAGGAGGAGTGATGAGTCAACTAATAATTTAATGGGGACAGAGCGAGCGAGAGGGAGAGAGGGCGAGAGCGAGCAAGCCAAGCTGCGTCCGGGGGACACACACACACACACACAGCCCAGTAACATCCAGCAACAACCACCAAACCGGCCTAAATAACTGTTATAGCCAGCCGAGGGACAACAAGAATTTGAAATCTCACAGGATTAATTTATTATTGTTTTTTGGTAACCTGATTTCCCTTTTTTTCTCACCCCCATCTCTTGTCCCTAACCTTGGTTTTGCTTAACTCTTCCTAAGTATATTATTTTTAATTTTCTCCCAACTGAAGGATCTTGTTTTTGTTTTACTTTTGGTGGTGATTGTATTTCCTTCCGTTCCCCCCCCCCCCCCCCCCCC